AGCCCAGAATTGCCCATTCTGCTTTTGACAACGGTTGTGGGCAACCCAGAAGTGCCCAGGTACATTCTGCTGCAGGAGCGTCGTCTTCAGCCTCGCGCTCATGTTCGCCTTCGGTGCTTGGAGGTGGTGGCCCTCGGGTGATGGTGGAACCGCCGACGGGCGAGGAGCTGCTCCCCTCCCCGAGCCTCGTGCCATGACCGCCGACGGGCGGTGCAGGGGCCTTGCCCTGGCACGGGTGCTGCCGCCACCACCTCCAATGTTTTCGCAGCTCATGCGACGAGTTCGGCATCTCCTTCATTTTTCACGGCGACTGGGGCGACTTCAGCGCCTGGTCTTTGCAACGGTAGCGAGGTCTCTGCGGACTTCGACGACGCGGAGCTGGTGGATTGTGGCCGCGCCCCGCAGCAGGGCGCGGCTGGACCGTCGCCCCCTTTGGCCGTTGACGGCCCGCTGGATTTGAGATCTGCTCAGGTTTGGGCAGCCGCCGAGGCGGCTCCCGACGGGGTCATGTTTAACCAGCTGTTGAAGCTGCGGCACGGCGCCATCCAGCGGGGTTTGAGGAGCTCAGAGTGCCCTGCGGGGCACGCCTTGGTCTTCGAGACCGTGCTGCCTGGCGAGGAGGACTTTGATTGCCAACTCTGCGATGGCGAGTACTTCGAGCCGTCCGAGCAGTTCGAGTCATGCTCGGTTGTCTCCTGCGAGTGGCGGTTCTGCATGCAGTGCTGGGCCAACCACGGTGGGACGACCACGGCATAGCGCTCTTGGTGGGAGAGCTGGCGGCGCACGGTGGGCCTGGCGCGCGAGACAATGAAACCGAAAACCGTGAACTTGGAGACCTCTTGAATGCCTCTTGGCGCCATCTTAGAGCTCTCTTGGGGCCCTTTTAGAGGAGCTGTTGTGGCCACTTCGGGCCTCTAATGCTATTGGGGTCTGGCCTTTCGGGTCCTCTTGGGGTCATCATGGAGGCCATCGGCCCAAAAAGGCAGCGGCGCCGATTAGCGCCGCCCCACTGGAGCCCGACGGCGTATATTGTTGGGCCGCTCTCGGGGCGCGTTCGGTCGCACTCGGGGCCGCCTTGGACCTCTTCTGGGCTTTTCGTGGGGCCTCAGGCGACCTGGGCGTGGGCCGGCACACGCCCGTGCTCAGTGCGGCCGTGGGTGAAAATGGCTTTCCCAGGGGCCGATTTTGGACGCTCCAACGGATCGCGGCCCCTCCTGTCCAGGTCCAGGGGACGGGATAAGAGGAGGGGTAAACCCCTCCCCGAATAGGGGTTTGTGGAAGAGGAAAGAAAGTCAACGTTAGACCACTGGTCGCCCAAAGGGGCTGGTGGGACCTATGGAAGACAGGCGCCTCGCTCCTTCTCTAGGGCTCCTTGGGTCAACGCCCCGACCGCGCTCCTGGAGATCACCGCGCGGGTTTTTCGCTGCGCCGTGGGGCCGGCTGCCTGCCCGCGGCCCGACCCCAGCAGCCGCGGGGGCGGCCCTCCTGATGTGGGCCACGCGCGCCGCGTGCGCCCTGGGCCTTCGTTCTTTTGTTGTTTGTGCGGTTCGGCCCCTGGCCCCGTGAGGAGTGGAGCGCGCGCGGCGTCTGTGGCCCGGCGTTCGGGCGCGCGTGTCCGAAATGGTTGTTGTTTATTGTGTTTCGTGTGTGCGTGTGTGTGTTGTGTTTGTGTTTGTGTGTGTGTTGTCCCTCTCCCAATCTCTCTTTTGTTCTCTCTCGCTCTCGCTCTCTATGTCCCTGCCTGTCCCTCTCTGTGCATATGTCTACATGCGTCAGTGGCTCTTTCTCTCTCTCTCTCTCTTTCTCTCTTCTCCCCACGGTGGCTTCGAGTGGAGGCGTGTGGAATGCTCGTTGGGTCGCCCGCCCGCCTTTTTTAGCATGGTCTCAGAGAGGGGACAGGGAGAGCGAGAAAGAGAGAAAGAGCGAGAGAGAGAGAGAGAAAGAGAGCGACACATATGCGCGCACACACGCGCACACACGCGCACACGTATATTCACGTACGTAGGTACATGCACGCAAGCATGAACACATGTTATGTATACAGCGGGGGAGGCCAGTGACATCATCAAGGCGGAATAAACAACGGAGGGAGTGAATGACGGCAGGAGGAGGAGGAGGCGAAGAGGGACGAAAAATGGCACCCGCTCTCTGTGTCGGCGCCTCGGGAGGGTACCGATGAGCTTTTGTGGCCAGAGGTGTCCCCCCTCACGCCCGAGCTGGAGCACCTGCAGCAGCAGCCGCGGCTACTGCAGCTGCACTTGCACCTCCAGCTGCCAGGCCTGCGACGCCCCGGCAAAACACAGCAGCGCTGGCGTTCTTGACCTTCTTCGGTCCCAGCAGCTCGTTCGCCAGCGGCGCGCCTCGGGCCCCTAGAGCGGGCCATGGTTCCAGGGAGGTCTTCTCACAGTGTGCGACCTCCATCGTGGGTCTGAGTGTTGGCCCCTCGTTCAGGCCCTCACGGGATCGCTGACAAAAAACAAGATCACGGGTTCCCTTGTGCCGCGTCTTTCGAAGCTCGCGTCCCCTGCGTGTCTGGAGCAAGGGCTGCCCATCGGGAGAGCATTGTGCCTTCGGGCGCCGCCTGCCTGGCAGTGGCCGCTGTCGGCACTGGACAAGACTAGCCTTTGGACAGTGCCTTCCTTCTGTCCGTCCCCACTTTGGGCGTGACAGAGTCCTTTTCGGTAGCAAATCATGGGGGCCTTGTGTACCCTCGCAATTCTGTTCTCAGCGCCGATCCGCGTCGATCAGCGCCTGGATGTGGATGAGACAGCGCCAGTTTAGCGTCGGTTGGCGTCGATGAGCGTCGACACAGCGTCAACTCGCAAGAGCCGACAAGATGGTCTGGGAGGCTCCCATGAGTTGCCACCGAAACAGAAAGCGCCCGTTGTTCTTTGGCTTTCAGGCGCCCGTTTCAGGCAGGGCCTCCCCTCAGATGACGCACTGTCGCAAGCAGTCGCACTAAGCAGAGGCCCGGAGCCAGACCCCCCCCCCTTGCCGCCCACTGTCGAAACGCCGAACAAAAAACGCTCACTCTACGTATTTTTATCTGCCCCTCTACACCTGATTCCGACTCGTCTCGACTCCGCATTCGAGCGACTTTCCGCTGGGGTGGCTGTGGCTGCGGGCCTACCTGGGGTGCCCCGATCGCCGAATGCGGTGCGGTGGCAGCGGCTTGCGCGCTTGCGCTCACTAGTTTTTTGGGGGGGCCTCGGCACCCCGATAGGGGGCCACATGCGAACCCTACCCCTACCCCCCACGACTTCTGAGGGGGAGTGCGGGGTTCACTTCGCTCAGGAGCTCCCGAGCGAATTGAACCCCACCCTCCCCCTCAGAAGTCGTGGGGGGTAGGGGCAGGGTTCGCATGTGGCCCCCTACCCGACGTCGGCAGGGCCGCTGCTGCAGCTGACCGCGCCGTCGCCCGCCGCCTCTCCGGACCGGACGGAGACCTCGGAGGCGCCGGGCCTGGCCGCCGCGGACTCGACGGCGCGCCGGGGCAACCCCAAAGATTCAAGAACGAGCCTCCCTCGGCGACTGCGAAGGGTGTGTAGGGGGGCCACATGTGAACCCTACCCCTACCCCCCACGATTTTTGAGGGGAGGGTGGGGTTCACTTCGCTCGGGAGCTCCCGAACGAAGTGAACCCCACCCTCCCCCTCGGAAATCGTGGGGGGTAGGGGTAGGGTTCACATGTGGCCCCCTGGTGTGAATGCGCCGGGGTGCGGTCTGCGATCGGCGCCGTGGGGGCCCGGAGGGCACGAAGGTGTCCTCGTGGGGCCTCGTCGGGGCGCGGCGGAGGACTCTGTCGAGGTACCCGCCCGACCCCCATGCCTGGCATCGCTCGGACGTGTGCGTTTCTTCCTCGGCGAGGACCATCGAGGATCATCCTCGATCATTCGGCGAAAAACCGCGCACGAGACCGGAAAAGACCAGGAGATGGACGTCCGAGCGATGGCCAGCATGGTGCCCCCCAGGGTGCCGACTGCAAGCCGCACCCTTTGCAAACCACACCCTTCGGAGTCGCCGGGCTCCCTCCCCCTCTCTCGGGGGCGAGCGGCCCAGGGGCGCACGCGACGCTCCCGCAGAAAGTGTAGCGGGCGGGTTTCTGGGCTGCTTTTTCGGCTCCTCCTCCCCCTCCTCCTCCTCCTCCTCCTCCTCCTCCTCTTCCTGCTTCTCCTGCTCCTCCCCCCCTCCTCCCCCCCCTCCTCCTCCTCCTCCTCCTCCTCCTCCTCCTCCTCCTCCTCCTCCTCCTCCTCCTCCTCCTCCTCCTCCTCGCCGGGCCCCGGGAGCGTCACAAGAGCGACGCAGGACGGACAACGGGCCCTATAGGGAAGTGGGCCGGACCTCCAGGGCCCACGCATCGAAAAAATGGTGCCAGCCCCATGGGGAGGGGGGGAGGCGAGAAGGGGCTCGGGAGCCCCCCAGCCTGCTGGGAAGTTTACGGCGCCTTCCCGAGCGAGGGCGAGGGGGGAAGTGAGAAGGGGCGAGGCTTCTCAGAAGGCTCGGGAGCCCCCCGGCCTCCGAAGAAAATGAAGAGCTTCCCCGAAGGCCAGGGGGCTTTAGCTGAAGCCCCGCCGCCTTCCGAGGACCCCTTGGCCTGCTTACTTCCCCCCTCGCTCGTCGCCGACTCTCCTTTCCCCCTTCTCCGGGCTCCTCGTCCCTCCCCCCCGGGGCACCAGGGCAGTGCAAGCGGGGGCCAGCCAGAGCGCCTGACCTGGCAGGACCCTGCAGAAAGCCAGGGTTGCACTGACCCGGCACGAGCGCGCAGAATCCAACAGGATCCTGCGCAGGATGCAACAGGATCCTGCCACGCCCGACTGGCCCAGGTTCGCATTACAGTAAGCCCGGTCAGTAGATCCCCGATCCCTCCTCATCCTCTTCCTGCCCTCCCCCTGTCCCTGTTGTTTCCCCCTCCTTCCCACCCCCGCCTCCTCCTACTCCACCTCCTCCTCCTCCTCCTCTCCCTCCTCCTCCGTCCTCCACCCGTTCTTCCTTCTCCTCCCTCTCCTCCTCCTCCTCCTCCTCCTCTCCTCCTCCGCCCTTTCCCTCGTCCCTCGTCGTCCTCGGGGGGGTTTTCCCCCCCCCCCCCGTCGTCGTCTTCGTCTTCGTCTTCCTCCTCTGATGACGGGTCTCCTGGTTTTCCTGAATCTTCCCCGCCACTGTACCTAGACCTCCCCTTCCTCCCCTCATCGAGCAGCTTGAGGATTGCATCGTGGAATGCCCATACCCTTTTTGGATCGGTATGGACGAACGCCTCCGTACAAGCAGCTACGTGGGCGAAATTACGCGCTATGTCTCGGAAGGTTGACATCATAATCCTGCAAGAAACGCACGGCGAGCCAGAAGACTTACATGAGCTGCGGAAGTTGTACCCGTCCTGGAAAATTGTGGGGTCTTTCCTGGGGACGGCGGGTGCTGGTGGTATCTTGTTCATGGTGCATGAAAGGCTTGCTGTGCGATTCAACAGGTTCAGGTTTGCCCCTGTCGTCCCAGGGAGGATTGGGATCTTGAGGATGTATGGGGAGTTTGGGAACCTGGACGTGTGCAACATGCATGTAGATCCGAGCTGGTCCTTCTTTCAAACTAGAGGTGTTCTGCGAGCTGTTCAGCGACGGCTCCGAGGCAGCACCATTGCCACCACGTTCATCGGTGGCGACTTTAACTTTTCGGCAACTGGTGAAGGTAGATTGCGTCTCTCTGAAGGCCTTCTTGAGATGGGCTCCAACTCCCTCGGTAAGTTCTTCGACGAGTTATTCCCAAGTATGTTAGAACTACACCAACCTGAGTATACCCATAAAACCGTTCATCATAGTGAAGTTGTTTCTCTTGGAAGACTTGATCGTATTTATATGTCTATTCCTACCTCCGATGTCCTCGACCTCAGCCCACTTACTGGCCTTATGGGGGACCTATTGGATCCAAAGTTGCCCAGTGATCACACTTGCGTCTTCGTCTCGCTCACCTCCACTCCCAGGTCCTCACGTCCTACGATTCCGCGGTGGGTCTCACGCCACCCCAAGTTTGGGGTCACACTTCGGTTGCTTCTGGAGGAAGTATGTCTCTCGGAGGCTCCAGCTGATAGGGTAGAGGAGGTGAAGGAGGTGATTTACGAGGCGGTGAGGAGGGTGAAGAAGGCTACGGAGCTGCTGGGCCCCGAGACTCCGTTGCAGAAGATAGCCTGGATGCTCGCCCTTTTGCGCGCTCACCGTGATGGTCGCCTTGAGACCGTTGTGCGAGCAATCCGTGCTTGGCCAGTGTTAGGAGAATACTATGACCGACACGTTTTTCAATGGACGGACAATGTTGGCTTTCATAATCGCTTATCTATTCTTATGAATGATGTCTATGCCTCGGATGAGGACGAGATTCAGAGAGATCCTGAGCTTACTCCCGCCCAGAAAGCCAACGGAGTCCAGCGTATCAAGGAACTGGCGGCTGCGTGGCGGCCGCGACATCGGCGAATTTATCTTCGAGGCCTTGTTGACAGCTCGGGTCAGACCGTTACCGAGCCGTCTGAGTGTGCCAAGCAGCTTGCGGAATACTGGGGTGAGGTTTCTAAGTTTGTGCCGTCCCAGGTTTCCGAGTTCGGTTCTCTGGATCAGTTCATTCAGCCTGTCCCTAGTGGGACTCAGTGGGTGCTGCGGTACGAGCAGTTCGAAACGATGGTCCTCAATAAAAAAGATAGCTGCCCAGGGGTGGACGGTATTCCGTACTCTGTCTGGAAGGCCGGTGGGGGAATTGCCATTGACGCATTGTACCAGTTGTACCTGTCGGGGCTGCAGTTTGGCTCCTTCCCTGCCGAGTTCAACAGCTCTCTGGCCGCATTTTTACCTAAGGGTGATATCGAAGTTACTAAACCTGGCCAGGTAAAACCTCCGGCCTCGACGCGGCCACTCACGTTATCGAATACTGACAATAAGCTGCTGGCTAGTGCCTATTCCGCCCCTCTCCGACAGATCGCGTCCGTGGTCGTTCATCACTCGCAGTCTGGATTTTTACCTGGACGTCAAATTCTGGACCACATTATTTCCCTGGACTCGGAGCTTCGGATCTGGAGAGGCGTCGAAGGACACACCCGCACTGGTGGTGTCCTATACGACGTCAAGGCCGCATTCCCGTCGCTCTCCCACTCCTACCTCTTCTACGTGCTTGATCGGATGCAGGTGCCTGAGTTTTTCCTGCATGCGATTCGGAAGTTGTACGATGGCGTGCGGGTTTACATCAGTTTCAGAGGTTGTGACGAATTCTTTTTCGTGCTTGAGCGCGGCCTCAAGCAAGGATGCCCGCTTAGTGGGCTGCTGTACGTGTTGGCCACTGACCCCTTTATCAGATATCTCCTGAGTCGTGTTCCTCGGGCTCCATGCACATCCATATATGCGTTTGCTGATGATCTCGGTCTTACTTCCCAGGACATTTTCATTACTCTTCCTATAGTATTACCCATTATGAGTTGGTTTAGTACACTCTCGGGGCTGTGTATCCACCCAGGTAAAACTGTCATCTT